TGTCCATTTTCTATCAACATTGTCACTTGGTTTGTTTTCAATTTTATTTTTACTAAATTGCTCCAAATATTTTTTTACAACTTCAAGCAAAATTGAAATTTATTGTTTATCGCAGATTGTCAAGATTTTGTTTTATTTGTTGCCGTATTTAATTCCTGCTGGATCACGAAGAAAGAGAAATTTTAAAAATATTGACAATAATCCTGATAAAACTTTAAGCAAACGATCATTTGAAGAACGACGAAATTCATTTTTTATTCATTTGGAAATGAGTTATTTTCTAGAAAATTTTATATAACATTTTATATTAATTTATTTTCCGGGGGGTCACCCGTTAGCTTTCAGCGGGTAAACAGGTGGAAAGTTCGAGGAGGCGGAAAGGGTGCTGTAGACGTAGTTGTGTGAAAGGGTGGAGGGCAGGAGTAAAGAAAAATGTGGAGGAGGTTGAGAAGAAGCGGAGGCATTGGAGGTGAGGGCGGATCCGAGGAGATGCGGTCGGAAATCGAGAGAGAAGAAGAGAGCTAAGAATGAGGTTAGGATGACGATGAGGAAGTGGAAGGAGGACGCCAGGGACGGAGGAGGTGAGAGGCGGCGGAGGGGGAGCATTGGCTGGAGCAGGACTCGGCTGTTGGTGAAAAGGAAGCGCAGTGGAGGCATCGGTCCGAGCCGGCGCGGGGACTGCGGGGAGTTGACTGCTCCGAAAGAGCATGTTGGCACCACTGCGGGGCGGTAAGATGCGATGCGCTGGAATGCACTGTGGGCAGAGCAGGCCGGTAAGGAAGAGAGAGGTGATATCGGCGACGGAGGAGATGGCGCAAAAGACGAACGGTTTAAGGCGAGCGCACATGAGCACAGCACAACGGCTAATGAGATGGAGCGGGTGAAATCGATGGATCGAGAGAATGGGTCGATCGAGGAGGTGAACGTCCGTTGATGGCATGCGGGTAGCAGTATGGCGAAGAGATCGTACGACGGAGAGGTCGGAAAGCGGAAAGCAGAAAAGTGAACACACTCAGGAGTTAGAGGAGAGTGAGGGAGAAGGAAGAGAGGAAGGCAGGGTCGGAGAAGGTTTTGTTTGTAGGTGGAAGTAGAGACCCGTGAGAACAGGTGAAAGAATGAACGGAGAGCGCAGAGGAGAGTGGAGGATCAAAACAGAAGGCGGAAGGACGCAGAAGTGGCGACTCAAGAGAGGGGGCGCAGGCAGAGAAGAAGAGGGAGCGTGGAGTGAAGGGGAAGGAAGCAGGAGAGAGGAGATGGAGGTCGCAGAGCATGATAAGGGTGCGGAGGATAGCAGGAGAGGTAGAGGGCGAGAAAGGGAGGGAGGGAGTAGACTGTAAAAGGCCGCTATGGTCAGGTCGAGTGTGGAAGGTGCAGATTGTAAAAGGTTGGGTACGTCCCTAAAAAACGCCATTTCTGTAATTCGTCAGAATTAGAAATAAATCATACTACTACTATTAACTTATTTTTCTTGTATTACCATTTTTATTTTAAAAAATAAATATCTTTATATTTCTTTTGTTAATAGTCTGCTGGTACCTTAGAAACTATATTGAATTTAACTACACGTAAAGTTGGAAGTATTCTTGCTCAACAACCAGTTCCTGTAGTTGTTGGACCTATCCTTGGAAATACGTGGGGCCCGCCGCGGCGGCGCGGGCGGCACGGATCATGAGTTCGCACACAGAATAAATTGTAACTTACTAAGGAGTAATTTTTCCATCTTGGACTTCCTATACTTTTTTGTTGACAACATTTTCTTCTTTTTTTGGGCATTTTTTTTATTGAAATCGAAGATGCCAATCTTAAAGAAAAATTTGAATTTATTATTAATGTTAAAAAATATCAATTAATTAACCATTTTTATTAATAATGCATAATATATCTCAAAAGTGTGTAAAAAATACTTAAAAAATCACTAATCATTATTTAAAATCGGTAATGTTTACGACAAATTATTGATGTGTGAAGTTTAACATGACGGCTTTAACGCCGAAACTTTAAACCCCTGTAAGTAGACAACGCGTTGGACAAATGTCTAAAAAATTGGTGTAGATAATTATGGTCAATAGATTGTGCAAATTTCAGCACAATAAAAAAAAACATTTTTTTTGGGGTGGATCACTTCACATGGAATGCCCCATACATGAGTGTGCTTTGCCTACCTCCGGAACTTTGTTCAAAATTAAACAATATTTTTCTTTTTATTTTATTCAATACATTGAATAAAGAAACTTTTACTAATAAATCTATTTTTTACAAAGCACAGTTGATGAGCTTTGTTTGTTACAACAACAAAGTATAGAAATTTATCATAATGGACAAACTAGTCAGTAGGGAGGTAACATATACTTCTGGCCCAGGGATCTTTTTTGCGGTTAGCGGGGTCGGGGGAGGGGCTTCGCTGCCGCGGGGGGAGCGCCGTAAGCGGTGGGCGAGGGGGTCGAGGGACGGTGTAAAGAGTCACCGGAGGGAGGGCTATGCGGGGGGAAGAGAAAACTGGGCGAGAGGGGGAGCGCGACGCAAGGGGAACATTTGACGTAAGGTTGGGTGTGGCAGGGCTGCCAACGGGGGTTCGGCGCGGGGCAGGGCCGCCAACGGGGGCTCGTTGCTGGGATTTGGGCGTTTTTTGAGGGGGCGCTCGGAGCGGCGCTTGCGCCGTTACCGACCGTTTTGGAGAATCGCGGGCCAATATTTTTTGTTTGTTTTTTTCTTTGTCGTCGGTCGCGCGCGCATTTGAGCGCATCCGAACTCGTTCAAACTCGTTCAAGGTCGCTCGTCTGGACGTTTCGGGGGTGGGGGGGGAGAACGACGCGTTCTAGGTGATTCGTTTCGCGAGGGGTTTCGCGCGCCCGTCTTCGTCGTCGTTTTTTTTAACTCTCGGTCCGAAGGTCGTTTCGATCCGCGTCGCGACGGGCAGGATGTGGTTTTCCTGCCCATCCCGACTTATCGAGATTGATGGAGATGACTCGTCTCATCGTTCGATCGATTCGTGATAATTTTTTTAACGCGCGTTCAAACTCGTTCGCGGTCGCTCTCGTCGTTTCCTCCTTTTGTTTTGTTTTGCGGTTTTCCTGCCCATCCCGACGCGACGTATCGAGATCGAGGGAGATGACTCGTCTCTTCGTTCGCGATAATTTATGTAACGCGCGTTTGAACTCGGCGTCGCGATCGCCGCGACTGCGGGGGGTAAGCGCGGTCGCGCGGAGATGGGTATACGGATTTGGGAAAAACGGGAGAAACAGAAAGAGAGAGCGCACAGATGAGATACGCATATAGTTTTTTTTATTCAAAAATAATACAAGCGCGTTTACATTGTTTCGCTCGCGCAAATATATACATTTCTTAGACGCGACATCGTTATAAGGATTGGAAACAGAGCGCGGCTATCTCGCAGTCAACGATGTTGTCAGGATCGAAGAAATCGCTCTTCAGTATCTCAATATGAACCGAAGTTTCCATTTTCATCGCGGCGGCGGCTATTTCCCGATAGCGCAAAAACTTCGCGTCGACCTCCTCGGTCGCCGCGCTCAGCGCACGGATGACGCGATCCACGCAAAATTGGAGATCGTACAGCGTGAGCAGAGTTTTGCGCACCATCGCCACGCGAGCCTGGTTGGGTAGCTCCATACGTACGATCGGCCCGTTGTTGATCACTCCGAATCGCAGCGTCATCCCTCCGATCGACATCGGCGAGGGGGGGTGAGTTACGTCGGAGAGAGCGCGTTTCATGCACGACAATACGTCGCGTTTGCGCTCGACCAGTCCTTTCCACATGTCGAGCGTCAGGGAGATTTCTTTTCCTTGTTTGTCTCCCAGGGCGATATCCACGTACGAAGGCGTGGTATGAATACTGTACCACGGCGACTTGATCGTGATACCTATGGCTATGTACTTGTAGCCAGTCGACGTCAGCAGATAACGCGTCGTCAGGATGCGCACAGGGGGCAATTCGACGGGTTGGTCGGTGGGCGAAAGTAGGAACGAAACTCCTGATGATGACGACGACGATCGTCCTCGACGGGCGCGTCGGTTGAAGGATGAGAGCTGCGACGCGATTCCTGGCGACGAGGAAGATAATGGCGATCGTCCATCGAACTGATCCTCCGCTTTTTATTGCCGTTGTCGTTCGCCTCCGAATCCGCCGTCTCCGTAGGGGAAATACTCCTCGGCGCGGGTCGATCGGCCAACGTCGAGAACATTTCGCGCCGCGGTAACCGTTCCTTTCTGATTTTTTTTTCGACGCGTCGTATTCGGCCGACGACGCGACACTGATGCCTTGGAAGGGACACGTCGGTATAAGTAGGAAAGATCTGACTTATGTCGCGCGTGGCGCGGTGTGGGAAATTTGCGCGGTCCTCTACTTCCTTCGGCGGATGCGGAGATCGGAGAGCCGAACCCCGGTGTCGTCATCGTTCCAATAATCGCTCGCCGCCGACGTTAGCGAGTTATCGTTGAGGCGTACGATTCGATCGAGGAGATCGCGCAACTGCTGCAGCAGTTCGGCCTTAGGGCAGACGATATTCAGTATCCGCAGATCGAATTTACCGGCCGACGAGACGGTCCTCGTAAATTCGTTGAATTTGTAGAACTGCGCCCGAGTGGTGAAGTACAGATTGCCGTCAATGTAGTGGAATATCAACGTCACGCCGGTCGGTATTCCGGGAAACGTCGCCTCGAGGAGCGTAAATTTGGCGACTCTCTTGTCCTTGTCGCATTCGTCTATCTCGCCCACCGCGTTACCGTTGAACACCACGTAGGAACGTCCTCTGTGGGTGTTCACCGCTCCGTTGATCAGCGCGTTTTCGGGAAATCCGAGTTCTTGCAGGGTCTTCGGCCAACCTGGCCGCAGACTAAATTCCGGATATTGAACCAAGTATACCAAATTATCTACGAACACCATGAGATCGCCGGACGGGGATTGATAGGCAGCGGTCACGCGCGTGTAATTGTCGTGAAGAAAGCTCATGTGATTCGAGAGGGCTAAAGGTCCGTTGTACGTCCTACCGTCGATTTTCCGAAATCAATATCCCGTTCACGCGATCGAGGCTGCACAGGTCCGGCGACGGCGGCGGCGGAGCTGGCGTCCGACGCGGCGGATCGTTCTGAATTTTTTCACCGTACAAACGTTGAATGTCGGCGATGTCGTTTTGGTCGAGTTTCACCGGATACTGCTGGTCCGGCTGTATCGCGAACATCACCGATGTTTTGCGCTTGTTGTGCACCAATCCGAGGGAGTGGCCGATCTCGTGCGTCAGCGTGTAATGCAGGGAAAACTTATCCGCGGGATGTTTGTTGACGTAAATGTGCCACGGCTCGTCCCCGTCAACGTGCACCTCGGAAACGAACCCCGCTTGGTCCGTCGGGAGAGACGCGTGGGCGAGCACGTTGCCGGGGCCGTCGAATTTGTCCGAGCAAAATGCTCCGTTTACCTTGGTGTTCGTGTTATAGTGTAGTAAGCGTCGCCAAGATATTATAATGTCGGCATTCGACGTTTCGGAGCGTTCGAACGTCAATGCCGAATGCTGCGACCACAGGTCAAACGCGGCCCGCGCCGTGTTCAGCTCGGTTTCGTCGGCTAAGTGAAAATGCCACGTCAGGTGCGTCTTCGGCCATTTGGACAGGCTCGCTTTCGTTTCGTGCTTCAGGATATCTCGGAAACCGCATCGCGGTTTACTCATGAATTGCAGCGTTTCGTTGTTGGGCGTTCCGTCGCCGGGTAAATCGTAGTAATTCTGAAAATCCTTGAAGGCTTTGCGAAAAACGTCGTTTCGTCTCTGAGCCGAAACCGCGTCCACGTCTTTGGACAGATATCCGTATTTCTGCAGGTAGTCGAACGTGAGCGCGTAATTTTCGTCCGTAATTGTGGAATTGATGCACGCCGCGGCGATAAAACACGCGGTTAACGCGATTATGTACGCGAGCCGCATCGTCGAGAGCGAGAGAGAGACGGTGAAACCGCGATGACGGCGCGTTGCGGTTTGAGCGCGATCTCGACGAGCGCTCCGGATGCGAACGTTTACGCGATGACGATCGTTAGCGACAACGCGGATAGGTGGCGGCGCGGCGAGGGTCTCGGGCGTGAAAAAAAAAATGCGTCGAAGATCCCGGCGGATGAGTCGGCCCGATAAGGAAAAATTGCGTCAACGATTCCGGCGGATGAGTCGGTTTGATAAAAAAAAAATGCATCAATTATTTTCCTTGATGCGTATTTTCCTTGATGCGTATTTTCCATCGATTCATATTTTCCTCACGCAATAAAATGCTATTCTTAGTATATTTTTTTATCGCAACACCCATGGGCAACACCCTTTTTTTTACCATATATAAGAACTCGAGACTAGACTTGGGCGTAGTCTATCCGCACTCTTCGAGTGAACTCAAGACGATGGAGAAACTTAACGATTTAAAATGCGTGTGTGATGTATTACAAAATCAAACCACAGCCCTGACGAGGGAGGTTGAGGATTATTGCAACATGGTGCGGCAGTTGCAGCAGCGCGTGAAGTGCTTAACGGAAAAGGTGCCTCCCTTTTTGCAACTCACCGTTCACGTGGACGAGAACGCCGCAATGCTCGAAAAAACGTGAGTATCGCTTTCAAACGCGAAATTATTTCTTATAATATAATTAAACGATAAATTTTATATTTATGTATATTTATAATGATTTACAATTATTTATATTTATTATTCATATTTATATTTATTTATATTTATTAATTGTATTTTTTTGCGTAGGGCTATCATTACTTCCTTGGTGAAAAAATCTCGCAACCAGATCAGATTGTTCGTGACGAAACTTCGTGGGATGCATAGGGACATCGCGCGGCTGGACTCGCACGAAGAGGCGGGTTGTCGCGAGAAAGACGACAACGACGAGGGGGATTCTCCGAACCTGAACAGCCAAGAAACAGTGACCATCAACGACGATGTCCCCGTATGTTGGGTCTCCTAATGTGAAAAAAATGTGAAAAAAATGTGAAATACGATATATTGAAAAAATTTTATTAAATGACAGAAGTTTATGTATAATATGCTATATAATATTGTATTACAAATAAATATTAACAGTGAAAATAAATGTTTTAACGATATCGCGTTTTCTTCACCGCTTTCTTCCGCACTCGATCTGACGCTTGGCGTTATCGCTCGCTCGCTCGCGTTTCTAACCGCACCTCGCGCTGGAGCCCCACCCCCGTATCGCGCTCTCGCTTTCGCTCGCCGTTTCTCTGTTTGTCGCGTTAAGGTGTATCACGTTCCCGCGACCGGCCATTGTTACGCGCTGCCGCGACCGGCCATTTTCGCGCGCTCGGTAGCATATAATGTATACGTATATAAATACGGAGGTGGTATGCGAAAAGAGAAACACCGTTTGTCATACATTTTACGTCGATCTTTATTCGATAAAATATAGATAGAAGGATATATATGATACAATAGAGTAAAAAATAAACAATTAAACACAATATATACGAAATAAAAAAAACAAGCAACGCAATAAGATAAAACGATTAATACGTTAAAAAATGAAATTATATTAAACCAGTAATATATAACGTTTTTTTTTACACAAATTTATAAAGTAATTCAATTCGCGGAATCGATGCTGGCAAAACATTCGCGTCGCTCGATCCACCAATCGCGCAACTTCATCACGTTCTCCATGGCGCAGCACCGTTGGTGACGCCGGCAGCGAAACGCGCGATCGGTGCGAAGAGACTCCAACCGATCGACGTCCTCGTACTCCGCGTCGACGGTCACGATCGTCGCGTCGACGTCGCCGAGAATCTCCTGCAGCCATCTCTTCTTCTCGAGACCTTTCACGTAGATTCGCGCGTTGGGCGTCTCCTCCGTCTCACGCAACTCGTCCAGGTTGTCGCGCACCGCGCGTCGAATGATTGTCTTCGCCTGGCGATAGTCTGTGTCGCCGTCCTCCCAACGAAGGCCGTGATGGTTCGCTATCAACCAACTGGCTCTCGCTTTCTCGGAGCTCGTCAGCAGATTCCAACTCATCGGCGCGCGAAACACGTGATGCGCGAGCACGCGCGTCTCGCTTCGCAACACGGCCACCTCCTTCGCGACGAATCTGTCGCCCACCGTGAATCCTTGCAGGTCGACGAAGATCGTCGTCGTCGTCGTTGCCGCTGTTGCCATTGCGTCGGCGCGCGTTGGAAAAAAAATTAAAGAACAGACGATCGTTTAAAGTTGCTCGTTTCTAACAGAGTCTGAGAAACGATGGAAGGAACCCGCGAATTTATATATTCCTCGTTTCCGGGATAAAAACAATCCCACAACCACATTTTTCCGTTTCCCGAATGAGGTATCCTCGCAATCGCATTTTCAGTTTCCCGGATGAGGTATTTCCACAACCTCAATTTCCGTTAGATAATTTTGCGCACCACGTTGGTCGGCGGACTGTACTTGATGACTCAATCGTGAACGATGAGACAAAAAGCTGTGGTTTTCGGCGGAACGTTTTCCTTGTTTTCGAACTCGATGCGCACGTCCACGGTGGCGCTCTTCACCGATTCGTTTTGACGGGAACAATCGATCACCGCGAGCGGAGCTACCCGCGCGAATTCGCGCGGGGAGAAGAGCGCGTCGTCGCGACCGTTCCCGTAGTACGCTCCTCGAAATTTCGCGTACATCTCGTACAGCACGGCAAACTTGTCGCTTTCGAAATCCACGTTCACGTCGTCGTAGGAATAGAATTCCGAGTTGAGATACAATTTCACGTTGGCGAGCGCGCAATGATCGAACCTCGAGGCGTCGCTCGTGAATTCGTTTCGCCGTCCGGTCTGCAGCGCGAATATGACGTATCGCGGCTTCTCCAATTGCGGCGCGGCTTTCACGGCCCACGAATGCTTGGTTGTGCTCTGCAGCAGGGGAAATTCGTACAGATCCCAAGAGCGAAAGCCCGCGCTCAGAAATCGTCCGCTCTCCAACGTTCGCAACAGCGATAATTTAGTCACGTCGTTCAGCGCCACGTGAGGCATACGCCATTGCACTTTCAACAATGTAATTTTAGGATCCTTGGCCGGATCTCTCGGCACAGTCTTCTTCGGATCTACGACGCAGTTGTGGTCGCTACGAGAGCGTATCAGGATAAGCTCGTGTCGCGCGTTTATCACCACGCGTCTGTAGTCCTCGCAGAAACCCAACAGAATATTCAAAGGTACGCAAAAGTTGAATTGATGGGACGCGTTGTTCAGATTTGATTCGCTCGTCGGATAACTCCATCCAGCGTTCTGCAATTTTCTGGCTCGTTCGACGGTCAGCGACACGTAATTTTTTATCGTGCTGGTTATGCCGACGTTTCTACACCGGTCGATCTCCACGCCGTCGAGCTCGTATCGAATTTTGTCGAACATAAACGCGACGCAGTTGTTGACTAATTTCGCGTATTGTTCCTCATTCGTCGCGCCGTCGTCGTTGAGTCGTCCCTCGACGTACAGGAAACTGTCGCACGGCAGTGTATACAGATCCTGCTGCTGTATGGGTATTCGTATCTTGTCGTTGTGTCCGAACGTCGTGTTGACGTACGGGTTATACGTGTGAGTCTCGATTCCGACGATGCGCTCGTCGAAGATCAGCTCACTGCCGATACTCAGGATGTCGGCCATGATTTTTCCTCTTGAGGTAGAAACGGCTCGACGGTGACGCGTTTCTCACGGCGAGACCCAGCGTTCTTAGAAATCTGACGTTGGCGTTGCTGAGAACGGGTCCCCCTCCTCCGCCTTTTCTCTTTCCTACGTTTCCGATCTCGTCGTAGAACGGGCTAGCTCGCTCGTTCGTACAATTTGCGCTAGATCCGTTCAGAACGAGCATCCCTTCTCTCACTCTCTCTTTCTTCCGGGATACGCGCACACACACACACTAACCGTGACGACGACGTACGTGCAATCTGATCGTTATCTCCTCGCCGCGAAAGTCGATCAGCCGATCTTTTTGATCCACGACTCGCACCGTGATATCGGTGACGTTTCGCGCGACGTTCGGGAGGTAAATGATCTGCGTCGGAGTCTCCGACAGTTTATATCCCGGTGGAACTTTCGGCGCGAATTCGTGTATCGCGTGCACCGAGCGTCCGTTGCTGTACGCTCCCGCGGTGATACTGCACTCGATGCGAATTATGTTCACGCTCATGACGTCAACGGGTCCGTCGGAAAAGTACCATTTGTTCGGTTTTAGGATACGATCGCTTGAGAAACCCAAAAGAGAACCGATGTTGTTCGGTTTTGTAAAATTCACTCGATAGGCGCACTTTATCTTGCTTCTCATGGTATTCTCGTTGGCGCGAAGATCGAGCACTCTGTCACCACCGTCGTCGTCCCCGTATATGTCATAACCGTCGCCATCGTTGTCATCGTCGTCGTCGTCGTCTTCGTCCACGTATGCGCGATAAATCTCGTCGTCGGTTTCGTCCTTCTCCGTTCGGTTTTTTTCTTTTACCCGTCCAGCGTCGTCGGTCCGCGGTTTTCCTCCTTTCTCCTTAATTTTGTCTCTCTCGCGGGCGCGACGTTTGCGATGGAGAATAGCGCAGATATCTGCTCACGGCTTGCAGCTCGTACGAACCTTCCGGAACGACGATTCTCCGATCGTCCTCGCCGTAGTAGAAGCGATTGTTCGCGGACGTAACGTTTGGTATCGAATTGTACGTCTCAAAAGTCGCCAAACCCAGCTCGTATTTGCCGTCGCTCAGATCCAAAGCGGGAAAGTGACTCGCCGTGAGAACGCTGCCGGTCCCGGTCAACGTGAGCGTCAGCGACATCGCGGGAGAACGTCGATCGTCCGCCCGCTCCCCCCCAATCGATCTCGCGAAGAAATCGCAGGCACAGCTGTCCGCAGATTCTCTGATCGAATGTCTGGAACGCGCGACGATTGTACGTCACAATCGCGCTCTCGCCGCCACCGTCGCCGAGATACCGCG